TGTGTCTCTTTATTTTTCTGCTCTTTGTTTCTCTTAGTTTCTTCTCCCTGTTACAAATTCCCGAGCATCTATAAAACCATTCATTAACAACTTGTTAGTAATAAAAAAAAAAAACTGCAAGGCAAACTCTAGGGACAAGCATTCTTTGTAGATACGATAAGAGTCACACTTGGCAAAGACTTGGTCAGCTTAATTGGTGACTGACCACAGCTGCAGGTTGTAAAAGTTTTGGCTCATCTCTTAAAGGGATGGCTACAAGGGTACAAGGGAAGAAACTGAACCAGTGAGAGATCTAAGGAAGAGGCAACGAATTCGCATGCTATTTTATGTGATTAATAATATAAACAGTTGGTCTATTAGAACCATGTGTAGAAGAATATGCAAAGTGTTAATTGCTTTTTGAATCAGAGTGGGGAGGTGCAGGTGGAGGAAGCTTAGGGCAAGGTAGGTGCTGTTGATCTCCTAAAGGACTGAGATATAACGTGGACAAACACCTGCAATATCACTCCAGCTCACCATAAATCTTCTGAAGGGCTTTGGTCCAGTAAATCCAAACATCTACAACTTCACTCATGAATACAATCTGTGACAGTTCTGCCTTCAATCTATCCCAAGGACACTTTGTTTGGCCAGTTTGCCCTGTCAGTAAGCCAAGGATGAAAAACAGACCTCTAAGTGTCCAACAATCACATGGAATAATAAATCTTGTCATGAAGCATATTTTAGTATTAAAATTAATTATTAAAATTATACAGTTACCATCCACAAATATGTGTACCCATAAGACTAAGAAGTAATCATGAGATTATAATTACATGAAAATGCATGGTAATAGGAGGATATCATAGCTGTTCTTGTACAAGTGAAATCACAGATGTAAACAACCAGTTTTTCAGAGCCCATGGCCCTGCAGGCCTAGCCCGATGGGGTTCCTCCATCAGAGAACCATTCGTCTGGTGGGCTGGCATCTAAATTACCAATTGCTATAAACTATAATTGCATCAATGTCCACAATAGCTCGTGACAATTGCTCCTGACAAGTATGTACTATGTTTAATAAACACAGAGACCCCCACCCTCCATTAACTGGTCAATGGTAGAGAATAAGAGACTGGAATGATCTGCTCTAAATGGGACATGCATATCACACCCTTCCTTCCCAAGGCTCAGGGACTTGCCTCTAACGCTGCTGTCTGAGCCTCTGGACTGTGGTAAGGACAGCTTCCAGCAGGCTTCCCCCTGCCCCAGGGTCAGCCCCCTCCAGACAGCCTGGCCTGGCTTCCTTTCTGCTGCTGTGATAAAACACGTGGACAGAAAGCGACTTAGGTGTGAAGGGTCCACTTTAGCTCCAGTCCTCGAGGAAGTCAAGGCAGCCCAGAGCTGAGACAACTGGTCACATCACACCGTCAGGAGCAGACGGAAATGAGGTGTGTGTGTGTGTGTGTGTGTAGTGTTCGGCTCCACCGCTCCACTCTTACACACTCCAAGACCCAAGCCGAAGAAATAGTGCCTGCCTTCACAGGAATGCAGAAAAGCTGGGACTGGGTGGGCCCTGAGCTCTGACAGAGACACAGCAGCAGTCCGGAACCTCAGTACGCCTACTACAGACAGCTGTTGTCCACATCAGGGTTTCTAGTGCTGTGATGAAACAACACGACCAAGAGCAAGCTGGGGAGGAAAGGATTTACACTTCCACTTTGTAGTCCAGCACTGAAGGAAGTCAGGACAGGAACTCAAGGAGGGCGGGAACCTGGCGTGGGAGCTGATGCAGAGGCCCTGGAGTACTACCTTGATCTCCATGGCTTGTTCAGCCTGCTTTCTTAGAGAACCCTGGACCACCAGCCCAGGCATAGCACCACCCACAATGGGCTGAGTCCTTCCACATCAATCACTAATTAAGAAAATGCCCTACAGCTTATGGAAGCATTTTCTCAGGTGAGGTTCCCTCCTTTCAAATAATGATAGCTTGGGCCAAGTTGACATAAAACTTGTCAGCACAGCTGTGTAGGGATCCCTGGGTAAATGGACTCCTGAGTGAACATGTATTGCTGACACAGGTGTGACCATGCCAAAGAGTCCAAAGCTTCAACCCCATGGGAGGGGCAAAGCCTTCCCCTGGTGACCTCAGACAGACGGCAATGCCGTCTATGTGGTGGCAGGGGCGTCCAAGTTCCAGGATTGAACAGCGTGTGCAAAAACTGCACTGTAGTGGCCTTTCTGGATGGTCACAGCCCGGGACTGCTCACCTACAGAGACCTCCTGCTGGAGCTAGCCACCCCCACCCCCATGCTGTTTTATAAACATGGCTGCAGTTGCAGATTGTTGCATTGGAGTGCACACACACACACACACACACACACACACACACACACACACACCCTGATCTCAGCTTTTCTGTGTGTGTCTTTCCTTTCTTCACTTCCTCTCCGCACCTAGTCAGGGTCCCAGGACTTGGTACAGTTGAGTGAGGTGAGTTTGTCATGTACAGCTTAATGAGATGGCATCCAAGAGGAGGAAGCGGTGGTTGACACTTTCTGCACTGAGTGACAATGTCCACGCTCAGAGCAGAGAAGGGCCTTGTCATTTCCCTGCTGAGCTTGACCTGGGTGAATATAGCCTTGCCGTTCCTCTGTCTTTGCAGGGTTGGGTTCCTTGACATGTCCACGTTTGTCCACGTTTGTGTCAACAATACACACCCCCTCAGGACTTTCTCAGCTCTCCATAGCACCACCCACATTCAGAGTGGGTTTTCCCACCTCTGTTAACTAAGGAGAATCTCTCACAGGCATATCCACAGGCCAAAAATCCCAGACAGACCCTCACTGAGACCCTTCCCAAGAATATGTCATATTGACAATCAAAACTAACCATTACAGGGCCTGGTGGACAGAAAGCTAGATATGGGGACCCAAAGAAAACTGCAGCTACCTCTTAGAGGCATGTAAATGTGTGAACAAAGAGAATGAGGTCTAATTAATAGCCCAGGTTACTAGTTGGTACTAATTAATAGCCCAGGTTACCCTGCCAAGGCCTAAGACTAGTGCCTTAGGGTTTCTATTGCTGTGATAAAAGGCCATGACCAAAAGCAGCTTAGGGATGAAAGGATTGAGTTGAGCTTACACTTCCAGGTCACACTTCACTGCTAAGCGAAGTATGAGCAGGAGCTTAAACAGGGCAGGAACCTAGAGGCAGGAACTGATGCAGAGGCCATGGAGGAGTGCTGCTTACTGGCTTGCTCCTCAAACTTGCTCAGTCTGCTTTCTTATAGCACCCAGGACCACCAGCTCAGGGGCGGTACCACCCACAGTGAGCTGGGCTGTCCCACATCAACCATCGGTCCAGAAGACTCACCATAGCCATGCCCACAGGCCGGTCTGGGGTGGGGGTGGGGCATTTTCTCCATTGAGGTATCTTTGTCTCAGTGACTCCACCTGTGTGAAGATGATAGAGAAACTAGCTTGCAGAGTCAGCAGCACCCAGGAGGTCAGTAGCCACACCCGTGAGCTAAGGGCCGGGATGCTAACAAAAGCAGAAGCCAGAGATGGACAGAGTGAGGGCTTCAACCACTCACCCAGTCCCTTAGTTGAGCAAGGAGCATGTGAACAGCGCATGATTGATCCCCCTGGTTGGGTCAGGGGACAGGCACAGCGCATGTGGGCTGGCCCTGGCTCAAGCTGTAAGATGATTGGGGAATTAACCAGTCTCAGTAGAAATGACCCGTCTTTTCCAGTTCCTGCCATAAGTCAACACAGCCCCTACAAGGCAGCTCTGTGGTCCCCCTCTTGTGGCCCTCCAGAGGGCTGCTTCCCATAGCTCTGCTTTCTGCAGTCAATCTTGACGCTTTCTCTATAATAACAATTCCTTACTAAACTCATTCTTCTTGTCTGTGAAATTCATTCTTGAGTTGGTGAGACAACGTCCCAGGACTGGGCCACTGACTCCGGAAGTTTCGTGGGACCACGTGAGTCTGGGTAGCAACCTAGCTCCTCACTCCTGAATTACACACATCTCAGAGGGAAAGTTGGTTTTGTTCTCTTTCTGTCTTTTTCTTAGACAGGGTCTCATTGTGTATTATGGTGATATATTTGTAGTCTAAGAAATAAAGCTTGCCTAAAGATCAGAAGACAGAGCCAGCCACAGAGTTAGCCACAGAGGTCAGGCAGTGGTGGCACACACCTTTTATTCTAGCACTGGGAAGGCAGAGGCAGAGATCCGACTGGATTTTTGTGAGTTCAAGGCCACCCCAGACTACACAAGATTAATCTAGCCTAAAAGAAACAGAGCCAGGCAGTGGTGGCACACATCTTTAATCCCAGCATTTGAGATGTCATGTCTTTGCTACCAGTGTTTAGGAAGCACACACACCATTCGGCTGAGGACTCAGAGGCATTCAGTCTGAGGATTCGTGGAGACAGGATTGGCTGAGGAGTTGGTGAGGTGAGAAGTGGTTGTGGCTTGTTTCCTCTGATCTGTCAGCATTTACCTCAATACCTGGCTCTGGGTTTTTATTATGAGACCAATTAGGATTCGTGTAACAATGTACCTCTGGGTGACCTGGAAAACTACACAGACCAGAGATCCACCTTCCTCTCTCTCTCCAAATGCTGGGATTGAAGAAAAGTGCCACCACATCCACCCCTGCGTTTCGTGGTCATCGTTTTCTCCCCTCCTCTTCCTTCTCCTCGCCCCCCCCCTTCCTCTGTTTGTTTGATTTTTTTTTTTTTAGAATGATTACCCAGGCAGCTGATCACCCTTCAGCAACACAGTAAATTTGCAGTAGTGAGGCTACCTATCGTGTTGACTTTATTGACAACACCTATCGTGTCTTTATTGTTTTAGATAGGGTCCCACTTCGTAGCCCTAGAACCCGTTAGAGTGCAGGGATTAAAAGCGTGGGCCACCATGCCCAGCAGGCAAGGGTAAGATTGTTACCCCGGTAGCCCCACCCGAGCAATTCAGAGAGATCACGGGGACTCCTTTTATTCCGCCGCGTGCTGCAACTAACAATTCGCATAAAACCGAATTGGACAGAAAAACTGACATCGGCTCGTTGGAGAAAATGGCTGTTATTTGTAACTTGCTTCGCCACGTCTCTACTTACATCCTAGCATGTTTTCTTCCGGAAACTTTCTTTTACACGAGTACATCTTTTTAAGCTGGGACTAGATAGCACTGGCCAGTAATTAGGGGTGCTCTAGGGGGCGGCGGAGGGCACCCTGTGTCCAGAAGTCTCCACACCTGGGCTCTCCCTGCTTGGGGCAGCACACCAGGTGAGCGACCGTCTGTGCAGAGGCGGCTGGGAGCCGGCTGGCTCACTTCCGCACGCCGGGCAGGGTGCGCAAAGGTAGCCTCCTCGGCTAATGACCCCCTGTTTGTTTGATTTTTAAGACAGGGTTCCCTGTAGCTAAGGCTGACCTCAAGCTCACTAGTAACCAAAGCTGGCTTTGAATTTCTGGTTTTCCTGCTTCTACCTCCTGGGTGCTGAGATCACAGGCGAGCGCCACCTGGTGGAGCAGGTAAGTATAGGAATAACGTGGCAGCCTGGGGCTCCTGGTGGCTTCGGCCAACAATACACGGGAAACCTAAGAACCTTACCTGTATGTACTGTGCACACACACCCTCTCCAAACAATGCAACAAACAACCCGTTAGCAACCCGGGGCCCTCGCCTACATTGAGCTGTGCGCGTACGTACACACACACACACACACACACACACACACACACACACACACACACACACACACACAATCTGAACAAGGGGCCAAGTTCTCCTTCCCAGGGACTGTTTAACCGTACTGTAGTTATGTGTGAGTATAAGGGTGGGAATTGGGCCCAGACTGGTTTAGGGATTATGTGAGTTCCCTTTTGTTGCTGATAAAACACCACCCCCTAAAGCGACGCACGGAAGGAAGTTTATTCTCGATTGTGGTTCTAGAGAGAGAGTCCATAACGGCACAGGCGGCGCAGCAGCAGACTTGGGGTCAAGAAGCCGAGAGATCACATCTTCAACCACCTGCAGAAAGCGGAGGAAGCAGGAGCTGGAAGTGGAATGGAGCCCACACCCTCAGTGCCTTCCCCAATGATGTGCTTCTTCCAGCAAGGCTGCACCTCCTAAGGTTCCAGGACCTCCCCAAACAGTGCCAGGAACTTGGAACCAAGTGTTCAAATACACGAGGGGGACATTTCTCATTCAAACCACCACAGAGTACGTGTACAGTAAAGCCAACTGTCCTCTGAATGAACTCCTAGGAAAAAAACCTTTGTTTACTAGCTTATCCTTATGCATAATTGGGTGTGCATATTATTAAAATTCAAATGCATTGTGCACAGTAAGCATGCCTGCCAATCAAAACATCTGTGCCTGGGGCTTGAAAGAGGACCCAGGTTCAGTTCCTAGCACCTTTGTGGTAACTCATGACCCTCTAAATAACTCCAGTTCCAGGGGATCTGATATCTTCTTCTGACCTCCAAGGGCACCAGGAGCCCTCCCAGGGCATGCATGTGGCAAAATACTCATAAAATAAAAGAAGCTAAGAAAATAAATAATCAGTTAACTACCTGTGCTATGCTCCCTAGCAACCAAATTCTTCCTTCTCTTGAACGCCACAAAAGGAAGCTCCAAGCAATAATTGGGACCCTTAAGTGTCTTCACTCATGTGGCTCATTGTCACTCTTTTTAATCTTGTTACATTTATTCACTTACTGTGTTTGTGCACACATCTGTGTGTGTGCACGTGTGTCATGGTGCACGTGTGGAGATTACAGCCATGTGAAAGTCGGTGCTCTCCTTCCACCAGGTGGCTGCCGGGGCTTGAACTCAAGCCCTTACACCCTGGCAGCAACGTCCTCATCTGCGGGGCTATCTCACCAGCTCCATCGGTCGCTCCTTTTTAAGATTTTTATTTAATATTTATTTATATTTGCTAGCATCTTTTACATTGTTTTCCTTCCCCTTCCTCCCTTTCCTTTCTTCTCTGCCCCCAACATGCACTCACACACACACACACACACACACACACACACACACACTTAAAAAGTGTAAAAAAAGCCGGGCGGTGGTGGCGCACGCCTTTAATCCCAGCACTTGGGAGGCAGAGGCAGGCGGATCTTTGTGAGTTCGAGGCCAGCCTGGGCTACCAAGTGAGTTCCAGGGAAGGCGCAAAGCTACACAGAGAAACCCTGTCTCGAAAAACCAAAAAAAAAAAAAGTGTAAAAAAGAGCCGGGCGTTGGTGGCGCACGCCTTTAATCCCAGCACTCGGGAGGCAGAGCCAGGCGGATCTCTGTGAGTTCGAGGCCAGCCTGGGCTACCAAGTGAGCTCCAGGAAAAGGCGCAAAGCTACACAGAGAAACCCTGTCTCGAAAAACCAAAAAAAAAAAAAAAAAAAAAGTGTAAAAAAGGACAAATATGACATGGTTCCATTTAAATGAGACACCTAGGGGCTGGAGAAATGGCTCAGCAGTTAAGAGCACCAAGTTATCTGTCAGAGGTCCTGAGTTCAATTCCCAGCAACCACATGGTGGCTCACACCATCTGCAATGAGATCTTGCGCCCTCTTCTGGCCTGCAGGTGTACATGCAGACAGAATGCTTTATACATAATAAATAAATCTTTAAAAATAAATAAATAAATGAGACACCTACATGGGCAAATTCAAAGAAGGGAGAGGCTCTCAGGGTCCGGTCACAAGAAGGAATGAAATGTGACTCGGGAATCCAGGGTGGTCTGCTTGGATGAGGGAGTTCTAGGAATGCCTGGTGTTTGGTCGGTGTTACAGTTAGCTTTGGCTGTCAACGTGACAGAAACAGCCACAAAAGGCAAATCACAGCAACACTACAAACAGAAAGACAGCAAACCCAGCCTCCAAGAACTGGGGAAGCATGACTAAGAACCATAAATGCCATGGAATTTACCTCTATAGTGCAGGACCATCAAGCAGCTTGAATTCTGCATCCATTCACCAACACTTCCCTGTCACCCACGTCCCAGCTTCTGGTAACTTCTCTATTTCCATGACATCAACTTTTTAGCTTCTATACAGGGGTGAGAACATGGGATATTTGTTTTTTGCGCCTGGCTTAGTTCACTTAACAACATAGTTTTCTTTCTCTGTGACTTCTCTAGGCTCATCCATGTTGTAGCAAATGACAGAACTTTATTTTAAAATGATTGAGTAATGGTTTACAATATAATAATAACAACAATATATTTATCTTTCATTAATTTTTGCATCAATATGCAGCTAGATTGATTTTCTATCCTAGGTATTAAGTTATTTTAAAACACCTTTGTTTTATGACACTATCTCGTGTGGCCCAGGCTGGCCTAAAACTATGTGGCTGAGGCTAGCCTCCAATGGCTGGTCCTCCTGCCCTCACCTCTCAAATGCTGGGATTACTGGGATGCACTGACAGGGTTGGCTACAGAAACCGATGTCTGCTTTGGGTGTCCTTCCTTCTTCTTCTTCTTCTTCTTCTTCTTCTTCTTCTTCTTCTTCTTCTTCTTCTTCTTCTTCTTCTTCTTCTTCTTCTTCTTCTTCTTGCCTAAATGCTCTGGCTAGGTGAGACAACTTTTAAAAGGAAAATCACTCAACACATATTAATTCTGTGGAGTATGATAGAACTATTAAAAATAATTGATATGGAGACATTACCTGAGATGTGTCTACTGAGGAATATGTATAAAGCGCTATTTTTGTAAAAAGAGTAACTTTGCTGAGTAGAGCGCTGAGTGGGAGGGTAGAAGGTCTCACACTGAGTTGTGACTCCTGCTGTTCACCGAGTGCTGGGATTAAAGGCGTGCGCCACCACCGCCCAGCCAAATTAATTTTGTTCACTTGAAATTTACCCACAATAATGTTCACAGATGGGTGAATTTATTTTTGTTGGCATACGTAATTATGTATTTGTAAACTGTAAAGATAAATGACAGGTTTCTGGGACAATGATGACTGCCTGGGTTATTTACTTACTTATCACGTGTGTGTGTGTGTGTGTGTGTGTGTGTGTGTGTGTGTGTGTGTGTGTGTGTGCGCCACAATGTGCCTGTGGAGGTCTGAGGACAATTCTTAGGGCTCTTCTGCCACCTTGTGGGGCCCAGGAGCCAAACTCAGGTCATCAGTACTCTGACCTGCTGAGGCTCCCTGCCTGCTGGACAGAGATTTTTAAAGAGATTTATTTTATTTTCCTGTATGTGTCCGTGTGTGTGCTTGTGTGTGTGTGTGTGTGTGTGTGTGTGTGTGTGTGTGTGTGTGTGTGTCTGTGTGTGTGCTTGTGTGTGGGTATGCACACGAGTGCAGGTGCCTTTGGAGGCCAGAGGAGGGTGTGAAATCCTCTGAGGTGGAGGTACAGGAAGCAGCAAGCCTCCATCCGGGAGCTGGGAACCGAACTTGGGTCCTCGGCAAGAGCTGCACACTCTTAATCCTTAAGCCATCTCTCCAGCTCCCGACACAGATTTCTAAACATTGCGTCAAACTTCATCATGAAAACAGAGCTAGGGTAGCAGAATCAAATCTCATAAACAGCATTTTCTAAAAAGGCTGGAGAGATGGCACACCCACTAAGAGCTGTGTCAGAGGCCCATCAGGCAGCCCACAGACAGGTGTAACTCAGCTCCAAGACCACCTCTGTGGGCACACACCACACACACACACACACACACACACACACACACACACACACACACACACAAACATTAAAAATAAACATCAAAATTAACGTGACAAGATATCATCATGTCTAGGTCCCATGTATTCTTTTTATCTTAACCCCAGGCTAGCCTCAAACTCACTATGTAACTCACTGTGGCCCCAACTCACAGCAACCCTGCTGCTTCAGCCCCTCAAGATCTGGAATTATAGCCATGAGCCGCCATGAGCCGCCATGGCCAGTTAATCCCGAGCCCTGTGTTGTTACCTGTTGTCCTTTATCTTTGCTCCTCCTGCCTTCCCCTCTCACCCCAACACAGGCACACTGGAATCCGGACGCACACCACTGCATCCGGCCTTTTGCCTAAGCTGGGGATCCGTCACAGACTGGCAGGTTTGCCCAACAGGCACCTTTGCTTACTGAGCCCTCTCCAGCCCTCGGGTCCAGGAACTCTTGGATTGACTGGCGTTCCTGTCTGAGGCAGAGCCCCTGAGCAAGAAGAAGAAAATCCAGAACAAGGACAGCAGAGCCGAGTGAAGCTATCTGGGTAGGAGGGAACCGGACAGAGATGAACTGGTGAGGAACTGGTTATGAGTTTTGAAATATTACAGAAAGACAAGGGCAGTGGTCCCTGAAACGCTAGAAACCTATTTTGAGCCATCGTCTTCTTTTTTTTTAAAATTTATTTATTTATTTATTATGTATGCAGAAGTGGGTGCCAGATCTCATTACAGACAGTTGTGAGCCACCATGTGGTTGCTGGGAACTGAACTCAGGACCTATGGAAGAGCAGCCAGTACTCTTAACCTCTGAGCCATCTCTCCAGCCCGAGCCATCGTCTTCTAAAAGCTTGGGAAAGCAGCTTTCTGTCTCAAAAAAACAAAAAACAAACAAACAAACAAAAAAAAACAAAACCAAGTGGACAGTGCTTGAGGAATCACATTGAAGACTCCTCTAGCTTTTATTTGCATAGACATCCACATATGCATGAACACACACACACACACACACACACACACACGCGCACACACTGAAGATCAATTGCCTTAAAATGATTCAGTCAATGATTTGTTTGGGGCAATTTTCTGCGTGTGTTTTATTTTCCATGTCAAAGGTTGGCTTTTTTTGTTTTTGTTTTTAATCCAAAATCCTGGATGTCTGACTCCAGATGTGGCAGTTGCTAACAGCTTTTCAAGCCCGAAACCTATGCATTTACTTTTTTTTTTTCTTTTTTTAGATAAGGTTTTACTTTGCAACCTAAACCGGCCTGGAACTTGGTGTGTAACCTAGGTTGGCCTCAAGCTCTCGCAACCCAGCAGCCTCCCCAGTGCTGGGATGACAGGCATGAACCACTATACCCAACTGGGAGAGGATTTTGTATATGTGGCTGAATGCAGTATTTTACATGAGGATATTATTGTTCTGATTATTTGGGTGGCTTTAACTGCAATCAGAAGTGTCCTTATGAGAGGAAGGCATGGGGGCCTGTCACAGAGGAGAAGAAAGTTGAACATGGTAACTACCAGCTGCACTAGGTAACGCCAGCACCCACTAAGAGCTTCAATAAGCAGGGTGTAGCCTGTGTTGTACCACATGCATCTCATTCCGCAGAGGCACGAGGATCAGGAGGTCAAGGTCACCCTTGCTACATATCTAGTTCTAGTTCAATCAAGGCCGGTCTGAGCTACTGGAGACCCTGTCTAAAATGTTCTTTTTAAAGGAATGAATTCTCCAGATCTTGTGAAGGAAACTGGCCTTGCAAGAGTGTGACTCAAAGAATACATTTCACAGGAGATTGGCACACTAGATATGCTATAGGAAATCATAGTCAGTCAACCCACCTGTTATTTTTTTTTTAAAAAAAAGCAGATGGATAAACTACAAAGCTCACATTTTTTAGGACAGGGGAGATGGTTGAGTAGGTCAAAGCACTTGTGCAAATCTGAGAACCAGTTTGGATTCCCACAACACGTGTAAATGCCATGCGGTATTGTTTTTAAACTCAATCTCAATCTTATGATTTTATCAATAAAGACTCGGGACAGAGGCTGGGGTGAAAACCTGTTAGCTCAGAGAGGCACAGGAGCAGCCAGCTGATGTTCCTCCTTAGCCGACATCCTAGAAAAGAGAGCTTCTCTCCCGCCATCCCAAAACCAAAAAGGCCTGCCAAAGTGAAATTCCCTCCCGACTACATCCTTATATCTCTCTACCTGTTTTCCCGACTCCCTCTTACTCCCTATGGCTACTTCCTGTCAACTAGTTGCTGGGTCACCTCTTTACCCCAGGTTGATTTTACTTAATTAACAAAATCTCAGGGTTCACAGTGTGATCAAATATCCTGAA